CAAAGAGGATTTCTTCTTAGGAGACTGGCGTTCTCTGGGGGAAAATAAGCAGTCTGAGAGGAAAGAGCTGGAGGAAGAATTGGAAGTGGATCCCCAAATCATAGCCTGGTATGATTATCCTACAATAAAAGCTCAACATTAGCAGCCTTTCTCAAATGTACAGAGCTCTCGATCACCTTTTTAAGTCCTCTACTTGAAAATATAAATAAACAATTGAGAATTAAAAGAAATCTGAGATGAATAAAAACAAAATGTAAAAAAAAAAAGTTTGAGAACATTGACATGAATTGAATTGTGTCCCCCACCCTACTCCCTACTCCAAAATTTTGTATGTTGAAACCCTAACCCCCCCAAAGTGATAGGACATTTAGGAAGTAAATAAGATTAAATGGGGTCACAAGGGGCTCCCTTATCCAATAGGATTAGTGACCTTATAAGAAGATATATCAGAGATTCCCTCTCCCCTCCACTTTTGCTGAGAATGTAGCCATCTACAAGCTAGGAAGAGGTCCTCACCAGAAACTGAATCTGCTGGCACCTTGATCTTGGACTTTCAGCCTCCAGAACTATGAGAAATAAATTTCTATTGTTAAAGCCACTCAGTCTGTGGTATTTTTGTTATAGCAGCCAAGCTAGCTAATGCAAATATCTCCAAAAGAACAAAACAAAACAAAACAAAAAAAAACCCACAGCAATTTGGAAGAAACTGAGACCATGAAGGGAAGAAAACATTTTTAAAAACTATCATTAGTGGGAACTAGCAGTTAGCGTAATGGCTATGTCGCTGGACTCCCACATAGTCGACCGCAGTTCGCGTCCTGGACCCGGTGGCTTAAAACTCATGCTGGGCGCTTGTGCGTGCGTGCCCAAGATCCCGAGAGGAGAATGGAGGAGCAAGACCATCCCCCCAGGGGGTGATTTTTCACTTTCTGTCTCTATGTCTCTCTTTGGCGAGCGCACGCGCCCTATAGCGAAAACCTCTCCAAAAAAAAGAGAGAGAGAGAGAGAGAGAAAAAAAAAAAAAGAAAAAATTATCATTAGGGGCCAGCAGGTGGCATGGTGGTTGAGGCACTGGACTCCCACATGGCCAACAGTTCAAGTCCTGGACCTGGGAGCTTGCTTTCTCACCTTCCTTCTTTCTCTGTGTCTCTCTATCTCTGGTCAAATTAATAATAATAATAATAATATTAAATTAAAAAAAAAACGATCTTTAGAGGGAGCTTGATGGTGGCGCAGTGATAAATGTGACATACTGTAAAACTGACCTACATGGGAAGGTTTCAGATTCAAATCTGGATACTTCCCTGAGTACAGTGGAAATATGTATGTCCACAATCCAGGGCTAGCTAAATTGGGGGTGGATCACAGCATCAAGACTGTTATGAGTGTGCAATTCTTTCTCTCTCTGTGTCTCTTTAACTCATGGGAGAAATAAACTATAAGAAACTATCAAGGTCAGCCAGGTAGCATGGTAGTTAAGGTGGCTGAATCCCATAGGCCAAGTATACAGTTTGAGTCTCAGACCTGGTAGCCTGGAAAATACACGTGTGTGTGCACCTGTGTGCCCAAAATCCCAAGAGGAAAATGAAGAGAATGAAGAATGGTCATCTCCCCCTGGATAGAGGGTGACTTTTCACTTTCTCTCTTTAGTGAGCACACATGTCCTCTAGTAAAAACTAAAAGAAAACAAAAGCAAAAACAAAAACAAAAAAACTACCACTAGAGAAATAGAAATATTGGGTACTCAAAAAAGTTGTGATATATTTTTCTGTTTGTCTATGTAAAATGTGTCATGACTTTTCCAACAACCCAATACTTGTCCACACAAAAACTTGTATAAGACTATTCATAGTAGCAGTATTCAAAATAGCCATGAAGTAGGGAAAAAAAGGTCCATCAATAGAAAAGTGGATAAATAAAATGTGTTCTAGTCATGTGCTAGATTACAACAATGGAAAGGGGCCAGTCTATGACATGGCAGTTAAGGTAAATGGATCCTATACGGCTGACTGCATGGTTCAAGTCCCAGGACTTGAACACATTGAATATGTATGTGTGCATGCCCAGAATCCCAAAAGGAGGAAGAAATGAAGACGGTAATGTGGTGCAACTAGTTACCATGGTGGGTGCTTTTTCACTCCTTCTCTCTCTGGCAAATGTGCATGCTCTCTGGCAAAAATTTTAAAAAGGGAATAAACTAGACATATGTATCAGCCTGAATGGTTCTAAAGCATAATTTACATGACAAAATCTAGTTATAAAGACATACAGCATGATACTATTTTCTATAAAATTTTTAAGCTCACAGGGCTGGCATGGTAGTTAAAGGTGCTGGATTACCACATGGGCAACCGTGGTTCAAGTCCCAAAAGTAGCAGCTTGCTTTCTCACTTTCCCTCTCTCTCTTTCTCTGTCTCTCTCTGATCAAACTGGAAAATAATAATAAAAAATAAAGTTAAATAATAAAATTCATAAAAAAATTTTAAATCTCACTAAATAATGTTGTATATTATATGAGAAAAACATGGCAGGCAAACTGAAAAAATACACACATTAAATATATAGGAGTAGATGTCTATGGTGAAGGGAGAAAAGTTGGGATAAAAACAGTAAGAATCAAAACTGGCTATCACGGGAACCAGCAGTTAGCGTAATGGCTATGTTGCTGGACTCCCATGTAGTCGACCGCGGTTCGCGTCCCGGACCCGGTGGCTTAAAACTCACGCTGGGCGCTTGTGCGTGTGTGCCCAAGATCTCGAGAGGAGAATGGAGGAGAAGGGATTGCGGCATGACCATCCCCTCTGGGGTGTGATTTCTCGCTTTCTGTCTCTCTGTCTCTCTCTGTCTGTCTGGCGAGTGCACGTGCCTTATAGCAAAAACCTCTCCAAAAAAAAAAAAAAAAAAACTGGCAATCACTAAAGAATATGAATTGTTAAATTATATCATTCCATATGTACTATTGAGGTTAAATACAACTAGAAAAAGAAAAAAATAAATAAATGAGTGAGATTTTAATACAACCATATCAAGTACTTAGCATGAGTTAAGAGAAAATAATTAAGTTGAGCTATCTTTTTTTTTTACATGGAAAGATCTCCAAGACCTATTATTAAGTGAAAAAAGCAAACCAAAATCAACTAATGTACAATACTGTAACATTTATGTAAAACAAAATCACAAAATAAGTATCTCTTTGTACCCATACACATCCAAATACAGAGAAAGTTTTAGAAAAGATAATTATAGAAAAATGAGAGTGATATAGGTAAATTTCCTACATTATCCATAAAAAGCATAGAATAGAAATAAAGGCAGGTAGATACTCCAAGAAAAACAAAAGGTGTAAGAAAGAAAATATGGACCAGCAGATGGATTGGAGGTTAAGGCAGCTGGATCCCACATGGACTCCTCGGCAATTCAAGTCCCAGACCCAATGGCTTGAAAATCACACTAGGTGCATATGTGTGCCCAAAGTCCCGACAGGAGAATGGAGAAGGGATTGTGGCATGGCTATCCTTCCAGAGGGTGATTCCTCATTTTCTCTCTCTCTCTGGTGAACACATGAGTCCTATAGCAGACTTTAAAAATAAAGAAAGGAAATGTAATCATAAAGATCACTGCTCTGCAGGGAACAACATTTATGCAGCCACCAAAAACAACAATGAAAATTTAGTTAGGAAAAAATCAAAAATACCCACAAAAATTAGAAACCAGACAAAAAACATGAAGAGATATTTTACCAAATAGGATATATGGATGGCAATAAGTACTTGAAAAGATGCTCAGCCTTGGTATCCATGAGGAAAAATGCAATTAAAACCTCCATGAGGGACCAGGAGATGGCATAGTAAATACGTCTCTGGACTCCCACATGGCCAACCATGGTTCGAATCTCGGACCTGGTGGCTTGAAAATCACACCAGGTACATGAGCGTATATGCCCAAGACCCTTAGAGAAGAATGGAAGAGAAGTGATTGCAATTTGGCCATCCTGGGGAATGGGGAGGAGGTGCAGTGATTTCTCACTTTCCTTCTCACTGCTTGTCTCACTCTCCCTCCCACCACTAGAACACACAACCTCCGGCAAAAAAAATTCTTTGAAAACAAAAAGCAGAACAATAAAAGAGCACTACATATTACAACAACTAAAACAAAAAATATTGACGATATCAAAAGTTGCCAAGAATGTACAAAAACTAGATCTCTCATACACTGTTGGTAGGAAATCTAAAATGGTACAGCCTCTTTGGAAAATAGTTTGGAAGTTTCTAATAAAACTGAACATATGCTTACCATACAACCTAGCAACTACACTCCTGGGCAGCTATCCAGGGAAATGAGAAATAAATGTCCAAAGGGCTTAATCCAAATATTCATGTCTTTATTTGTAATAGCCCAAAACTGAAAACAGTCAAAATGTTCTAAAGTATTGATAATTCCATGGTTAAGCAAACTGCTGTCCATCTGTACCACAGATCACTAATATGCAGTAAGAATGAACTACTGCTATGTGCAACAACTTCAATGTCTCTCAAGAACAGTTGAGTTTTAAAAAGCCAGTCTCAAAGTTTGCATACTGTATTATTCCACTAATGTTAACATTCTCCAAATGACAAAACTACAGAGATGGTGAAGGTCGTTATGGTTGCCAGGGGTTAGGATGCTGAGAGAGTGAAGTGGGCATGACTAGGAAGGGTCGCATGAGGGGTATTTGTGGCGATGAAGTGTTTCTTTAGCTTGATTGTAAACTATGTGTGTATAAATCTTGATATTAAACGTACACATGTGATAAAATGGCCTAGGACTGTGCACACATAGTAGACATTTTCGAAAGTGTACTATACTTATAAAAAATATAATCGTTGAGGAAAACCGGGTGAAGGGAAGTACTATGTTTGCAACTATTTTGGTGACTCTATTTATTTCCAAGTAAGCTTTTTATAGAGCACATAAGAGTACAAAACAGAGCACTTAAAATGAAAATCACGACAGACACTAACAAGCCAAGGGCTGGAAGACAGAGTGAGATCGCCCAGCCGGCGCTGGTCCATCCGTGATCGCGGCTCCGGCCATGCTTTGTAACTGTCACTCTGACGGCAGGCCCCCTGAGGGCAGGGCGGGCAGGGCCGTGGTGCACGCGCTTCGCTCCTTGCAGCGGCTACCGCGGACGCCCAGCACGTGCTCGGGGAGAGGGCGGCCCCAGCCCACCCTGGCCTTGCCCTGGTCCCGGCCCCCGGCCCCGCCCCGGCCCGGCCCGGCCGCTCCCGACCCCTCCTCACGCCGGCACTTCCCGCCTTCCGGGCGGCGGAAGTCGCGGCTGCTGGTCCCTGCCCACGTGGAGCTTTTTCCGGTGCGCCCGCCCCCTCCGGCTCTGCGGTCCGGACCTGGCCCTCACCTCAGGATTCCCAATGTGCCTCCGGACAGACATATTTGCTCCAACCGACCACGCTCTCGGGGTTCTAGCCTCACGGGTTGCCTCTAACCCTACCTTCCTACCCTCGCAAGCCCCTCAGCCGCCTCCTTGTAAACTCTCCTCCGATTGGCCCGCCTTCCCCCTCCAGCCAATGGGCGCTCGGTTTACTGTCTCATCCCAGGATCGAAAGAGAGAGAGTCGCCACTCAATGGTTGCCAAGAGCAACGGGGGACGCCAGCTAGAGGAGCTTTTTGTGTCCCGAGCTCCCGCCTGCCGGCTTCGGCCTTGCGCGGGAAGAGGGGCGCGGGGGACAGAGCGGCTGCGCCTGCGCAGAGCTCAGGGAGGGGCAGGCTCGAGAGTGGGATACGGTACGGGAGTGTGACTATAACGCAGGCCACCCCTCCACCCGTTTTCGCCCTTCTAAGGCCATTTTGACAAAACATCTGGGCTACTTTATCCATAATAAGGAATACGAAGTGGGCCAGGGTTGTTCAGCAAGAATGCGGGTATACAGTTTATTATTTTTTAGGTTAAGTCAGTATGCAAATTACACATGCAAAATAGCATGTGTAAATACAGTCATTATACTGCATTGAAAGATTTTAGGCTCGCTAAAGAAAGGCAGCCTTAATTGCAAAGCACGCGCACCATTCTGTGGTTCATCATTCATTTAACAAATATTTAATAAGCACCTTATTAGAAAAGCTGCAGTAGGTTTGGCGGAGGATGGGAGGATGACTAAGACCCAATCCCGTTGCCGTGGAAACCATTGTGACTCCTGCCACCAGCCACCACCTGTTCTTATTCCAGATCTGAAAATTAAGTCCTAGCACCTTTACGAAACAATTACACACACAGTTTGACTTGGCTCCCAAACGTTCCACCAAATCCATCAGAATTAATTTCCTTTTACATGGAAGGAACAACACAGTAACCCTTTGTCCTTTGCTCTAAGTTGTTTTTAAGGAACGGAGAATGGTTACTCTGAGCTGTAAATACTTTCTGGCTCTCTGTAAATAATAACATATGTGAGGGCTTCAAAAAGTTCGTGGAAAGTGCATATTATTAAAAACTATGCATAGATTAGAAATTGTTTAGCCGGAAAGCAAACATCTTTATTTCCAGTCTTCGTGAACTTTTTTGAAGTACCCTCATACATCTGAGGTACTTTGGGGTCTATGCAGATGATCCATTCTATGCAGATGACAGGGCCTCGCTCAGTCTTGTCTTCTGGGACACTTCAACACCACCCTTACGGCCACACTTTAAATCATATTGGAACTCAGAGCTAGCTCCTTGACTTCCTGGATCTTAAACTCTGACTGTAGCTGCCTCTTGTACTTCAATCTTTCATGCTTATGGAGTTTTGTCTTAACTTTGCTGGTGTCCTTTAGTCCTTTAACCTCTCCAAAAATCTCAGCCCTTCATGCCCCCCTATAATAAGTAAGGGAATTGGAGGGAAGGTAGTGGGGAGGATATTCATCTAGAAGGTTTTGCATAGCAAGGAGAAGCTTCTAGACACATTACTACTTAGAATGTATGCTTACCTGGTACAGCTTGGCGGTAGGATGGTTTAGAGATTATGAGTAGACTAAGAGAAAGAAGACAGGGAGATAATGAAAGACACTAAAGAGGTGATGACAAAGAGAGAAGAAATTTAATGATTTACATGTAAAAATTACAGTTATATACATACATGAAGAGAGAAAAGGAATGCAAGAAATAGGAAGGCATCAAAAAATGCCTAGAAGTTTGCTAATCTGGGGTACCAAGTAGATAGGTGATATCGTATTAATCATGTTAAAGAACAATGATCCAAAAGCCAAAAGAATACAAAGTACAAGACCCAATAACCCGTTCAACTTCCATTCTTCAATGTTTGGATTCATTTCTTTGCATGATCTTCTCTCTATTCCAGAGGGTATAGGAATAACAACTTTTTTTCTTTTTTTTTGAGAGAGTGCTGTAGGGCGTGTGCACTCACCAGAAAGACAGAGAGACAGAGAAACAGAAAGCGAGAAATCACCCCCCCCCCCGGGGGGATGGCCACACCACAATCCCTTCTCCTCCATTCTCTTCTCAGGATGTTGGGCATGCATGCACGCACACGTGCCCTGCGTGAGTTTAAGCCATCAGGTCCAGGACTCGAATCGCGGTTCGAGTCTACGTGGGAGTTCAGCAACATAGCCATTATGTCAACTGCTGGTCCCAAGAATAACAACATTATTTGCCTCATTAATTGTAGTAGTTGTCTACTTTGGACTGCATAGGAAGCATATAGAGAGATTATAGAAATGTGGGTTATTGAATGCTACTATAGAGATGTCAACTGTGTGTGTGAGGTGGGATAATTTTAGTACATCTTCCTCCCCTCACCCATTGATTCTGATGCAGGGCGTCCTACGGCCACACTTTGAGAGACTGCTCTGGAAGAACCGTTCTTTTTTTTTCATATTTTGCTTCAGTGGAATCCTTCACAAACTTTAAGCTATAATAAACCCAAAGGCTTTTTAACATCATGAGTTTTCTTTAGGATTCCTTCTGGATCCTGCTATACCAAAACCGGATAAAAGTTAAACAAGATTAGCCCAAGTTCTATGGTACAGCTGGTAGCATGCTGGACTATGGAGCTGGAAGCCACTTGCCTACTATGGCTCTAGTCCCTGGACTAATTGGCCTCAGAATATGCCAGGTGTGCACATGTAGATGCCCAGGATCCTGGTGGGCTCTGGAAGATTAGAGGAAAGTGATCACAGCATGACCAACACTATAGAGGGTACATCTCTCTTGTGTACTCTACATAAAGTATTTTTTTTATTTATTTATTTATTTATTTATTTATTTATTTATTTTCCCAGAGGACACAAATGCTCAACAGAGAGCAAGAAAGTGAGAAAGTATCCTTCATGGGGGATAGTCATGTATCAATATCTGTATTGAGGCATATACAGACATTATATCCATAGATATTCACTGGAATCTTAATTAAATTGAAACTCATGCCAGGCACATGTGCATGCATACCCAAAATCCCAGGAGGAAAACAAAGGAGAAGGGTTTACTGCAAGGCCATTCCCCTTGGAGGGTGATTTTTCACCTTCCCTCTGTCTGTTTCTCAGGCAAGTGCCCATCTTCTATGGCAAAAAAACTTAAAAAAAAAAAAAAAACCAAAAAAAAAAAAAAAACCTCCCCAAAAAAATAAAAAGGGGGGGGCAGCAGGGGGGGGCAGCAGTTGGTGTAATGGCTATGTCACTGGACTCCCATGTAGCTGACTGTGGTTCGAATCCTATAGCAAAAACCTCTCAAAAAAAAAAAAAAAGAACCTTAATTAAAATGATGAAAAATGGAAACAATCTATTTGGTCATCAAGTAAAAAATGATTAAAGTAAATGATGGTTTATCTATAAAAGTAATCTTTTGGAACCATTAAAAAGTATGTTTCAATAAATACTGACTCGTTGGGAAAGTCATAACACTTTTTTAAATTAAAAAAAAAACATTAAAAATAAAACATCATGGGGACCAGCAAGTGGTGTGGTGGTGGTGTGGTGGTTAAGGCGCTGGACACTGCCACATGGCTGACCACGGTTCAAGTCCCAGACCTGATGGCTTGCTTTCTCACTTTCCCTCTCTCTCTCTCTCTCTCTCTGGTCAAATTAAAATAAATAAATGAATAAATAAAAACTAAACAAATAATTTTAAAAATACTGTCATGATTTTCCCAGTTACCTAATAATTACGGCAATGGAGAACTATTCTGATATTGTAAATGAAAAGAGTAAAAAAACAACTTTTTATTTCATATAATCCTGATTTGCATGGAGAAATGGGAAAAAAATTAAAATATAAACCATCTTGACTTTGGGTTATGGCTATTTGTTTTATCTCTATATTTTTGTGTATTTTATAGATTTTCTTCAGTGGATGTGAATTCATTTTGTACAAAAAAAGAAAAAAAAATCACATTGTCCTTCAAAGAAACAAAAAACCTGATGCTGACTTCAGCCTGAAAACTGTCTCTGGCTTCTGTCTGGGCTGATTTAGAGCGGAGCTGAATTCTGAGTAATTCCTCTATCTGAAGTGCCGCAGTTCTTGGCAGTAAAAGACTCTCCAGGCACTTGAGTAAGATCCTTGCAATCAGAGTCGTGATTGCTAAGAGGTTCAAGCTTTGTTTGTAAGAGAAGAAGTTCTGATTCTTTTCTTTAAAAGTTCCTACTTCTACTGATTAATTTTTTTTTTTTGGCAAAGTTATAAGTGCTCTTGTGAACTTCCATTTGTTCAATGTCTTTTTCTTTTCCTTTTTTTTTTTTTTAAAAAAAAAGACCTGTATGTGTTCCAAAAAGCTTTTAGACTCTAAGGAGTCAGTAGAGCCCTAGATAGGTAAGTGTGGCTGTTTTAAGACTATTTTATGTTTTAGGTTCTCATGTCCTTTCCCTGGGAACTAAATGGGCATTTCTGTGTCCAGCAGACTGCCTTTGTCTTGAATCTAAAACCTTCTAGACCCTCTTTTATCTTGAATCTCATAATCTTCAATTAGCTCCCCACGCCCCTGATTTCAAGCCTAGTTTCCTGACTAAGGCCAGTACCCTCCCCCTCAGACCCTCTCCTGAAGTTACTTTTTGGATATGGGCCTTGGCTCCTTTCCTTGGCTTCTTTGCCCTCATTCCCTAAGTGATGTGTGTTTCCCACTGCTTAAGGAGACTACTTTGCCTGATCTAGTTCAGTCCTAGAGTTCTTCTTCTCACCTCCCACCTCCAAAAT